AATAATAATAATAATAATAATAATAATAATAATAATAATAATAATAAATTTTATTTCAAAAACCCAAAGGTCACCTTACAAAAACAATTAAAATCAGCAATTAATAAAAACAGAATCAACAAATAATTAAAATAAGTCACAATAAAACAACACTTAAAACAAAGTTAAATAGAATATGCCTGTTTGAACAGGTGTGTTCTCAGTTGTGATTTAAGATCACAACAGGAAGACAGTCTGTGTTCCTGATGACAGGAGGGAGGGAGTTCCAGAGCTGAGGAGCACAGCGACTGAAGGCTCTGTTCCCCATGGTGACGAGACGGGCAGAAGGAACAATAAGATGAGTGGCAGATGAGGATCTGAGGGAACGGGAGGCAGTGGAGATGTGAAGCAGATCACACAGGTAAGAAGGGTCAAGGTTATGGATGCACGTGAACGTGAGAGTTAAAATTTTTAAATTTATTCTAGCTTCGATGGGCAACCAGTGAAGCTGCTGCAAAACCAGGGTGATGTGTTCTCTGAATGGGGTACAAGTTATGACCCGAGCTGCAGAGTTCTGGAGGAGTCTGAGTTTATGGAGAGTCTTATTCGAGAGACCAAAAAGAAGAGAGTTGCAATAATTGATCCTGGAGGTGATAAGGTTATGGACAAGGATGGCAGCAGCATGAGGAGTAAGAAAGGGACGAAGTCGGTTAATGTTACGTAAATGAAAGTATGCAGACCGGGTGATAGAATTAATATGAGATTGAAATGAAAGCGTATTATCAAGTATGACACCCAGACTCTTTACCTGAGGGGAAGAATGAACACGGTAGTTGTCAATATTGATGGAAAATCTCTGAGATTTGGTTAAAGTGGAGACTGTGCCAACAAGTAAAACTTCTGTTTTCTTACTATTGATGTTTAAGAACATTTGAGGACAACCATGATCTAATTTCCATAAGACAGTCCGATAGGGAGGTAGGTGGAAGAGATGAATTGGGTTTTGAGGAAATGTAGAGCTGGGTGTCATCTGCGTAACAGTGAAAATTGACATTATGTTCGCGGAATATGTGGCCAAGAGGGAGCATATAAATAATAAATAAAAGGGGCCCTAATACAGAATTAAATAAAAGGGGCCCTAATAGTGGAAGAAGAAAAAAACAGTTTGCTAGTGATAAGATGACCATTGTTGGTTTTGTACCTAGATAGGTCTGGGAAGCTCAGTCCTCACCTCCTTCTACAGGTGTGCAGTGGAGAGCATCCTGTGCTCCATCAACGTGTGGCATGGAGGCTGCACAGCTGCAGAAAGAAAAGCTTTGCAGAAAGTGGTGAAGGCTGCACAGAAGTCTGTTGGAGTCAGTCTCCCCACCATCACAGAGATTTACACCTCCAGATGCAGGAAGAGGGCTACCTGCATTATGAAGGACCCCACTTACCCAGCACACACACTTTTTGCCCCGCTCCCCTCAGGAAGGAGGTTGAGGAGCATTAAGTGTAGAACCACTAGACTGAGGAACAGCTTCTACCCTGAGGCTGTTACACTCATGAATCTCTAACTAGAATAATCACTGTGAAAAACCACATCATGTTGCTGCTGATCTGTTTCATGTTGCTGCTGATCTGTTTCAATGTTGATGTGTTCATTCGTGCTCATCTGCTCACACAGACTCATGTTCATGCTGCTGTTCGACGTAATGTTTTTATGCTATTAGTTCTTAATGTGTTATTTAGCTGATGTTTTCTTAGTTCATATCTTAGATCGTATTACTGTTTTTCTTTTAAATTTTATTGCTGGATGTAACTGGGACCCTGGGTACATAATTTTGTTCCACCACATGTTCCACATGGGGTGTGAACGACAAATAAAGAACCTTGAATCCTTAGATTATTGCGCATGAACTTTGGTGTTTTTAACCATTTTGGCATGGTTGCCTCAGAGGAGTTGACTGGGGAGAGGGTCCCAGAAACCATCTCATCACCAGCAAACTGTTTTTTTTTGTTTTTTTTCCACTATGGGAGTGTGGTACTCCAGTTTGTTTGTGGCTCCTTGGACTGAAGAAGTCCTTTGGATGAAGGACACAACATCTTAGAAAAATAAACAAATAAATAAATAAAACGTCCAGATGACCTGACTGAACATTGCTGAATTTGTACCTGGACTACTGATCAAGAACTTTAGTGTTTTGAATCAACATACTTCCTTGCAAAATAAAATCAGTCGTCAAATTTACCAACCTGGTACAGAACAACACACAGGAGGAAAAGAACGATGTAGAGGATTTTGTAGACCACCACCTGGTGAAGTGAAACATAAGTCATCATTCTCTTTCAATGAGGAGTTATTATTTATTTTATAGATCAATGTACTTCTAATCTTTTCAAATGTCTAGACAACAATCTTGCACTGTAATAAAATATTGTCGTAAAACATCAAGAAAAAATGAAGACAAGCCCCCCCAAGTGCAGTAAATTTCCATATTTAGTTGGAGAATGTGTAATTTATGACATAAATGTCTGAAGTTTACTACAAACCTTCCCAGAGAAGCTGACTATGAAGAACATGGAGCAGCAGAAGAGGATCCAGTATTTTACCAAAATCCCTTTTACACCTGAGATCAGCATGACTACCAGAGGAGAAGGCTCATTTTCCTCCTCTGATTTAAAGAAAATAAATAAAAAAACAGAAGAAAGTATTGAGACACAGAAGGAGCATAGAAAAATATAAAAGAAACAAGCAGAATATCATTAGAAAGGTCTAATTTCAACTTGTCAGATTGACGTGAGAGGAACTTTGGTAAACGCAACATTTTACAACTTTACAAAAGCAAATGTTTTTTTTTTTTCTGTTTTAGGAGAAGCAATCTAAAAAATAAATTACGTGGCATGTCTTGGATTTCTTCAAGGGATTTATTTTTCATGCTCTGCTTCTCTTGCCTCTCCTTCAGCTGCTGACGAAACATCAACCAGAAGTTAAAGCTGTAGAAGACCTGCAGACAAAACACAAACTTCAGCAGTTATGAAAAGTTTTAAGTTGTATTCAATGAGCAAGTGGCTTACGTTTTACTTTCATATTTCTCATTTTAGTAGGTATTACTGAAACAATACATCAACTTTTGCACCTAAAATATCGTCTTTTTATCTACTGTCTTTTCAGTTTCTTGTTAAGTATAACTCTATTTTCAACATAGTGCTCTCTGTATTGCAAATAAATATAAAGTTTAGTCATTTTTAAAATGAACAAATGTTATTTGATTTGAAATTCTGAAGAAATATCAAATAATGAAACCAAAAGATCTGATTTCTTGTTGATAAAAAATTATTAAAAAAGCACCCAGTCTTTATTTTTTATTGTTGTAAGCAAAGGTTTTAACAAACGCACAATGAAATTCTTACTTTGCTTTCCTCTAATGCAGTCACATTAAAAAAAAATAATAATTTGAAATAAAGATACCTACTCTAATTTATGATTTTTACCTTGTTGTCTTTATAAAACGTTCCCTTAAATATGAGGTTTAAAGCCACTCATTGGAAAGTCATGGAGATAACAAACAAATGTAAATAACTAAAAAACAAAATCTGCATATTTGTCTAATATCAATGTTTAATGAGACCCTAAATTAAACATTTATTTGGAAAAATTGTGACCAGATGCCAACTACTGGATGCATTTGTTTATCTACAGAAGGAGCAGAGGTGACTGAAAATACATCAAACTTTAATTTACCATCCATCACAGAGTTCAGCCAGCCTAATGTAACGTGGCTCGGTTTTTCAGCAGATTCAACCAAGCGCTTTGTTTACATTGAGTGCGGGCCTCCATTTGAAAACTGCATATGACTGGAAACCTACTGGAGCTTTCATCTTGCATCATTTAATGAAGTTAGGGATTATATTTTTTTTGTGTTTGATTGACTTGCAATGACTGTCTTAAATTATGGATTTGAAGCTCTGGACTGTAAAAATATTTTAACATGTCTATGGTCTGGATCCAGCACAGCATACCAATTTATTTTTAACAGGGTTGTAAAATACCCATACAAATACTGTCCAAGTCAGGTTATACTGGCTTTAATGGGACTCAAAAACATAAGAAGAAAAGATGGAGAAACTGTGTTTTTGTGTCACCCAGTCACCTTTGCTCCCAGGTGGATGCAGGGCGCAGGGTGGTAGCTATTCAAGTCGAAGTCCACGATCACAGCCGGGGGCAGGCCGGGGTACAGCTCGGCCCGACTCAGACGGAGCCCACTCAGGAAGCCCAGAACCACCAGGACAGTGCCATAGATGGCAAGGAAAGGGGCGGACATCATGGCGTACCGCCGACGGTCCCGCATCATCCAAATGATGCAGGACCACACAAGCAAGACAAAAGTCAGCCAGTTGTTGTAAGTGATGCTCCACACCTAAATACAAAAGAGGGTGGATTTACTCACAACTTGTTCAAATTAACAAATAGTTCATTCAATTTGCTAAAAGTTGTGTTAATGTTAGCAGTTTAGCAGCTGTACACTTTCAGTTAGCAAGCCTAACTTACACAAAAATGCCTGTCTTATAGTCAATAAGCTTATTTGTTAATTTGGATAAATATAGCTCAACAGCTTACTGAAAAGTCTGAACAGTTTTACGAGGCCTTTTAGAGGAGTTTCACTTAAGGCCTTGCTTCTAGCTGAATCATCCGCCTCGGCCCCACTACAGTCACTTTTTATAGTCTGTGCATTGCACGTCCAACTCAACCATCATCACAGTTTACTGGTGGGAAGTCATAAAAGCAGACTGTCCAATGCATCATGTTGTTTGACAAACACATCAATCACTCAGAGTTTTCAAACTCGCTCTTTGCATTTATAACATGTTCAAGGCCCCATCTACACAGATCTGGATATTTTTATAAACTTATTTTGTCCTTTTGTCAATAGTCCAACAAAAAAAAACACTTTTGATGCACCACTAGGCGGTGAAAACATTCACAGGAACAATATATTTTGGAACAATAACATTTTGAAGCTGGCCCATAGTTAAGACAACTGCAGGATGCACTGGTCATGTGACATCACTGTAGCAACGGCAACCATAACCAGAGAGGGCAAGCAGCAATAAAGGCCGATTATGTAAATACTGTAAAAATTGTTACTGTTAATATTCATGAAAATATTATTACTAAAATATTAGAATGAATTTAAGTTATCTAATTTATATAAAATGTACAAATGCCACAGCCGTGTGTGTTTCAATTGTACCAATCAAAGAGAAAAGGGGAATTGTGTCTCCTTTCACAAGTAAAAGCAGATTTGATCTTATAACCTCAATATGAATGTCATCTGACCATAACTGATGTAACCATTTAAAATTAAAATTAGCCTATAAAGCCGATGCAATCACTGTGAATTATTGAATTGGTCAGTAGATATTAGCTTCTGTGACAAATATTGTTATACAGAGTGTAGCAAATTATTAAATTGTACAATCTGATGTTGCCTCTGATTAATTTACACACTGTAAAATTTTATTATTACTTTGTAGACTATTTTTAGTTTCCATTACACAAACCTGACCAGTTGAGAAGATGGTTAGCCAAAATCAGTAGAGACAAGTTTCATCCTTCATCAAATCACCAGGTGATCAGTGAACATTTTCCAAGTGTCGACAACATAACGAGTAAATAATAATAAGTATACATTGTTACAATACTCTTGTGCAAAACCCTTTAAATGTAATTTCTGAGCTGTGCGCTAACTCAGCTTTTCTTAAGCCAAAATTAAAAAAAACACCAAAACAGATATTTATTATTTATCTTTGTTATTTCAGTAAAAACATTCAAATCAAGCTGTTCATCATCTGCTAATCGTCCTAAAATCAATCAATCTATTAGGTTTAATTTCTACAGTGAATGTGTGCAATAGGTGAATAAGAAAAGCATTTTTGATAGTGTAAATAAAAAACTAACTACCAGTACTTGTGAGGTCACAGAAACATTTTTCAAATATAATTTTGTTTAAAAAAAAGTGATGGTTCATGCACTTTATAGAGACCTCTGCTAGCATGGGGGGGGGGGGGGTCACTATTTGTGCCTTAATTTGGTTATGTACTTAACTCAGCTATAAACAGGTAAAACATTAAACATTTACCAGTTTCAGATTCCTTAAAAGTACATTTTGTGTTTTTAAATGATGTAAATTTCAAAAGAGTGATGTGCTTTTTCATTGTTGTTAACATTAAAGTGTGTAATTTAGTTTTTATTTAAAGTGTCAACTATAATTACTGAACTGGGAAACAAAACTAACATGAAACTGTAACGTTAATCATATATCTGTGTGTTTGTGTGTACCGTATTTTCCGGCATATATGTTGCAGTTTGTTGCATAGATTTGTCAGTCCTGTGACTTATACGCCGAAGCAACTTATATACCTTTTTTTCCTCATATTCATAACGCAATTTTTGACCGACGCTTTAAATTTGAAGAACTGCAACAGCGAGTCATCCAGTGCGTGCTCACTTCACTCAGCTGGTTGGTCCAGGCAGAGAGCAAACAGGTCTCACTTGTAAATGAGTCCTTGTGTAACGAACCCCGTATAATGGACCAAAATCACCACCACAAAAATCAATTAAATAAAGTTTATTAACTGATGAAAACGGCAGGATGGACCTCGGCAAGCTTTCGCAGACTGTGGACCGGTTCCAGGTTCCAATCACCGATCCACACGAACAGTCTAAAGATGGAGAACGGTTAGTGGTTGTGCAGGTGACGAGAGTGAAGACAAAGTCAGATGAAAAAACAACCACTAACCGTCTCAGTGATGATGGGGGTTCTGAAGCGCTGAAGCGGGTCCAGCTGACCCGGATGACTGCTGGAGGAGCTGGGTCCAGCAGCTGAAGCTTGCAGCGAGGTCTGCAGGATAAGTTGGTGTCTCCAGCACCGAGCGTGATCCAAAACCAGCGAGTGGTGGAGAGTAGAGCTGGTGGGGATGATCCGAGAGACGTGGTCGAGCAGGCGTGGGTCAGAACCGATGATCAGATGCCGAGATAATCCAAGGAGCAGACGAGAGACGAAGTCAGGAGGTCCGTGGGTCCAGGAGCCGGGAGGTCGAGCCGAGAGGAAGGGAACAGGAAACGATGGGAGGACAGAAACGAGTAAAACAGGAATACAAGGACTTGAGAGGACAGGACAGGGACAGAGCGTGGTCATGAGCGCGAGGTATTTACTAACTAAAAGTGTTCAACTACCGGGCACCGAAAAAGAGTCAGCTGTAAGCTTATAAAGGGAGAAGAGGACAGGTGCAGCCAGTTGAGCGCAATCAGCGCTGCTGGCTGCAGTGAAGACAACGTTAAACTAGGAGTGAAGACAAACCTCAACCCACATGCAGAGAAAGAAAAAGAAAAACAAAA